AAGTGTTTATGTGAGAGTTTGAACAAAGCATATTTGTGATGTTTATGATAGTTACAGACAAATGTTGGCTGGTTCCTTGGTTCAGTTTAGTCTGGAGTATCATGTTGGATACATCGCTGCTTGTTGCACTTGACTCACTGTTGTGTACAAGTTCATATATTCATATTGTTTTACAAATATATACAATTTTATAGGGTACTAAAAATGTTATAATATTTTTTTATGTTTCAAACTTGTTACTAAATTAATACAAATACTAAATTTGCACAGAAAGATTGGGATGAGCAGTAACTGCGTCATGTGAAAATGAATCTTTAAAAATACTTTTGTTCATTTTGACTTTGATTTTCTGTCAGTTTGATCCTGATGATGTTTAATCTTTACTTTAGTGCTCGATACTCTCTTCTACATTAATGCTGAAGGTGAGAAATGTTTCTTATTCTTTTCTTCACATTTATAAAATATGTATAATTTTGCTCCGATATTTCATATTTCATTCACCATTTGAAATCACATCATGTCTCTCTGTTTGTGCATCGTTTTATTTAAGGCACAAAATCAGTATATTAACAATGAAGTAAGTCAGATACTGTAATCACAATTTTCCTGGTTGCGATTTTGAATCAATAACAACATCATCATCATCAACAACAACAACAACAACAACAACAACAACAACAACAATAACAATAACAATAACGATAACGATACTAAAAAGTTAGAGGTTTAGGATTTTGCTGAAGAGGTGAGTTTCGAGAAGTTTTTTAAGGATTCCAGTTACAGGGAATTACAGATCTCATATGAAAGAGAGTTCCCAAAGGTGGGGGGCGCTGCACTGAAGACTCTGTCCCAAAGGCATTGAGGTTTATGTGAAGGACAGAAAGCAGACTCTTGGCTTAGGACCATAGCATCAAGGGGTCCGTTCTTCGTACTTCGCTTACTACATCCAAGACCAAATCATCGCGCTAACTTTGAGCTCGCTAATCCGGTTCCCCGAACACACCTGCTGTTGACGATTAGTACAGCTGGATGAAGTAATGTGAGATCACTGGGTGGCTTAACAGGGGCTACGCATCAATAGTAGAAACATTGATCGGCAACCCTCTGATTGGTCGGCGAAAATGTCAAAAGGAGCGCGCTCGGTATTTTTCGGCAGCAGAGCAAGAACTCTTGAGTGAGGGATTTCAGGAGTTTCAGAGTTTAATCAGAACGCAAGGGAACACTGCAAAGGCTGCAAAAGCAAGGAGAGAGGGCTGGCAGAAAGTTGCTGACAAATTAAACTCGTAAGTAATTTAATAATAACAATAATAATGGAGTGGATTTATATAGCGCTTTTCAAGGCACCCAAAGCACTTTACAATGCCACTATTCATTCACTCTCACATTGACACACTGGTGGAAGCAGCTACGGTTGTAGCCACAGCTGCCCTGGGACAGACTGACAGAAGCCAGGCTGCCATATTGCGCCATCGGCCCCTCTGGCCAACACCAGTAGGCGGTAGGGTAAATTTATTATATTATATTACATTATATCATATTATATTATATTACATTATGTCCTCTTTCACATTAGAGCCACAACAGGACCCACTAGAACATGGGAACAAGTAAAAGTGAAATATAAGAATATTCTACAGATTGGTAATATTTATCACAAAAAAAGACAGGTGGTGGTCCTGCACCCCCTCGTCAACAAGTTGGTTAAGTAAATAATACCCTCACGGGAAAATCGATATCTCTCAATGAGCACACTGTCGGGCTGAGCTAAAGGATCCTGTCTATCCCGCAATATACGCTGAATTCTGAGGACTCTCCTTATCAATCTTGCACCTTCCGCAATGGGTTGGTCGCGTAAACGGACAGGACATGGCTGCGACAGGCTTCCCAAATCCACCTTTGCTTTTATAGCCGTGGTCTCTCATCTTGATTACATGAAGTAATTTACAATTACTACTCTGAAATATGAATTACATCTGAAATAATCAAATACATGAAATAGATTGATTAATAGTAAATTTCCCTTTTTTTAGGAAATGACCTGTATGTATCTGTATGGAATCAATAAAAGGATCAAGTGCTGCATTATCTTTAGTTACATTGATGTTATTTATTTATGGTAAAACAGTGGTAAAATATCGCTGTTGCTTTCGTATAAATGAAGCGGACATACCTGCGTGGCCGCGATCTAATCTTGTTTACATAAAGTAAACCTGCTCCCGAGCAGGTTTACGCTCACGGATCTGTTGCTATGACAGCAAGTCCCGGATGAGCTTCGGAGAACCGAACAATCCAAGATCACGCGAAATCGTCAACAATCAAATCCAGCTAACTTACTTAGCGAGGTACGAAGAACGGACCCCAAGACTGTGTAGTTGCAGCAGGTCAGAGATACTAAGGTGCCAGGGCATTGAGGGATTTGTAAGTAAGCACAGAACCTTGGGGCACACAGTGGTTAACTGGAGCAGAGGTGGAGCTGAAGTCTCCCATGGTGACAAAGACAAACTGTGTTCTGTTGGAGAGGTTTGACTGAAAGCAAGAGAGCACGGTACCAGTGAGAAGACGATGATTGATTACGCAGGAAGGAAGGATGGTGTGAGGGCTGCAGAGAGGTCCAGGAGGATGAGGATAAGAGCAGTCTCAGTGCTGTGTCGTGTTCTGAAGCCAGATTGGAAGAGTTCATAGAGCTCATGGTATGACATGTGTTGATGTGGTGGCCACTGCTCTTTCCAAGGATACACAGGCATGGGTACACCTGCACAGGAACACAACAGGGTCAGTCATAGAATAAAGTGATGCAATCATCATTCAAGAAACTGCTGAGTTTATAAATTCAGAAGAAAAAGATTCTCCAAACAGACGAGGAGATTGATTTAGAAACCAGCGTTTATAACAGCTGTAAATGTGCACAGTTCACTGAATGATGTAAGCTCAGTAAATCTTCTTGATGCTATCTTCAGTTCATGCGTAGACACATTTGTGTATTTGAGGATGACTTTACTTGTTTCAAGAATTTTACATTTGAATATCTGCAGCCACTTCTCGTGTTATTTGTGCTCCTTTCCCTGATACAGAAAATATTCAAACATGTGTTTCAGCTGTGAAGTGTTCAAGGATAAGACATAAAAGGCAACTACAGGGGATTATCATGTTTAAACTACAGGCAAGTGTCTCGATTAGCTGAGACACTGTTCAGTAACTGAATCCTCATAATATTAATAAATGAGTATGTTTAAAAAGTCCTCAAGAGCTCATGAAAACTGTGGTCATAAATGTAAAGATGAAAATGCAAAAATAACAGCTCAACATTAATAAAATAAAACTTCCTGTTACAATTTAAAAGTGGACAGCTCACACGGACAAATAACAAACTCTGACTTTGTGTGTTTATGTGTTGATCTCAGCCTCACAGATCTGTGCAGTCACTCTGTTGTTTTATTCAGAATATGTATATGGTTTAATTTGTTTGATGAAAACACATCTTATTATTTTCAAGTCCAAATGTCACCAGGATGCAGTAAATCTTTCGACTCTTAACAGCAGCAATAAAAATCAGGACATCTTCAAAATGGCTTTATGCTTCCATCAATCTCTAACTTGATGTTTCTATGTGAACAGTTCCCATTAAGCCCACCGTGATCCTCGAGCCACCCTTGACTCAGATATACAGCAGTGAGACAGTCACTGTCAGATGTGAGATTCAGGAAAGTGATGGAAGCCATTCGATGTTTATAATGTCATCAGCCAAGTTAGAACCACCGTCAACATCTGAATACAGAATCAGCAGAGCTACAGAGTCTCACAGTGGAGAATACAGATGCTGCACTTTTACATTGTGCGGTGACATCATCACACTGACTGTATCATGTAAGTTGGACACATTTCATTTGGTAATATTGTTCTCTGTTTTATCTGTTTTATCTTAGTAGCAAAATCAGTGAGAAACAGTTTTAAATGTGGTGATAAAAAAAACACAATAATCACCAGAGTGAAAAAAAACTTTGTAACATAAATATTAAACTCAGATGTGATGAACTCAGTTTCTTCCATATGTGCATGTGTGTGGTTTTCACCACTGCAGCTCTGAATTATGACACATTTACTTTATTTATTTGTTTTTAATTTTTATTTTAAGTTGATCAAACATGATCAATAAATACAGAATGAGCAGAGCTGCTGCCTGAAAATACAGATGCTGAAAAAAGAAAAGGCTGATCATCAACAGAGAAGAGTTCTGTTATCACATCACAGCCCTGGTTGGGGTCGAGGATAGCATACAGTATGAATAACATCTGTGTAAATTATGACTGATAAATGCTGCTGACTGTGCACTGGTTATGTATCTTTATGCATATATATTTATGTGATCACGATCCTTAAAACAAACATTTAAATAAAAAACAGATTAACAAAAAATCTGAAAATAAGAGCGACCACAATGAACTGGCCTCAGATCAGCTAACAGTGTATAGTTCGCCTGTTTCTGCATTTAGGAGTACAGTTTGGTGACAGGGCATAAAATCAGTCTCACCTGATTCTTGATTCACTCTGATAAAGTTTTCATCATGTTATATACATCCAGTGTTAGCTCCTGGCTCTCTAGCTGGCTAACAGTTAGCTGAGATACCTGTGCTGTCCTCATGTGTGCTGCTGCCAGTTGTTGATTCTCATCAAATTTGCTTTGAAGACACTTTTTTGTTCTTGTGCTGTTGGTGCCTGTTTGCATCAAGTGTGATGATCACACTGAGATCAGGGACCGACCTACCTGAGAAACCTGAGATCTATTATTGAATTCCATCCATCTTCTCAACCCATCATCCAGGGTCGTGACCTATTAAGCACTTACTGAATTAAAAAAATACATAAATTGTAAATTAATAAAAATAAATTGGATTTTTTTAAATTACTATTGAGTTTTTATGTTGATCTTTATTTGTTATATAACAAAGTTTTTCCTGAAGCAACTGACGGTCTGATGTTTGTCTTTCCTGTAACTTCAACAGCAAGTAAACCCAGAGCCACACTGACAGCACAAAGTTCAGTCATACCAGCAGGGGGCAGTGTGACACTGAGCTGCTCTGTGGAGGGCTCTGCTGGCTGGAAGTTTGACTGGTTCAGACGTGATTCAGAGTTTTCTGGAGCTCAGAAAATAGGAGCTGGAACATCAGAGCACACGATCAGTATTTCAGAAGGAGGCATCTATTACTGCAGAGGAGGGAGAGGAGATCCAGTTTTCTCCACAGAGGACAGTGCTGCAGTTACAATTCAGAAACAAGGTGAGGCTGAAATTTTGTTGTGAAATAAAACGAAACATCATGATTAAACTGTAACAATAACAGTAACAATTAATTTATGATTTTTTCAGTTTAATATTTGTGTTTATTTGTTTGTTAGGGACAGTTTTGGCTGCTTTGAAACTGCAGCACAGCTGGTCTCAGATATTCACTGGTGAGACAATCACTCTCAGATGTGAGATTCAGGGAGGTGAAGGAAAGGTGTGGAAATATGAATGGACAGCACCCAACACAAACAGCCCTCCAACATCCAGTGAATACAGGATCAGCAGAGTTTCAGTGTCCCACAGTGGAGACTACAGATGTCGGGGTAGCAGTGACTATCTCTTAACAGGATGGAGTGATGCCTTCAGACTGACAGTTTCATGTGAGACACCATGGAGGCTCTTAAAATATCAGCAGTTTAAAGAGGAATGTACAGAGATGACAGTTTGATAAGAGAATGATAAATCAGTGAAATCTTTAGTTTGTTAAACAGTCTAATGTGTCACATGCAGGGAAACTATTTTTTAAATTACTATGTTAATGTTTAAAGTGTGATTAGTGCTGTAAGAAATGTATTCTTTATGATGATTTTTTTTTAATGGTTTTGTTTCTTCAACAGCAAGTAAACCCAGAGCCACACTGACAGCACAAAGTTCAGTCATACCAGCAGGGGGCAGTGTGACACTGAGCTGCTCTGTGGAGGGCTCTGCTGGCTGGAAGTTTGACTGGTTCAGACGTGATTCAGTCTCTTCTAAAGCTCAGCTCATGAGAGGAAATGAAGCAAACAGAGTTATTAGTGTCTCACAAGGAGGTCTGTACCACTGCAGAGGAAGGAGAGGAGATCCAGTTTACTACACAGAGGACAGCAGTGACGTCACAGTTGTGGAGATTTGTGAGTTTTAAACTTTCTGTTATTTAAGTTTCTCATGTGTTTCATACAAATGTAGAAATAAACATTGTGGCATCAACTCCAAAAAAACCTGCATATTTATAGCTCATTAGCTGCTGTTAGTCTTTAAATTGTGTTTTATTAATTATTTTTGGCCTCTCTTTCTAAATGCTTCTTTATCCTAAACTGACTTTAAGTGGATCCGTTTAGGATCTGTGTATTAAGCCACAGAGCCATAAAAACAAACAAACAAACAAACAAACAAACAAAAATAAAGGTTAATCCTGAACATGTTGTCATCCGAGGTCATCAACAGCTCAGCTAACATCAGGTCAGATCAGGGTCGGTAACCCGCGGCTCTTCCGCCCCTCAGCTGTGGCTCCCACAAGCTTTGGGTGAAAAAATGAAAAATAAAAGTCCCACACAACATCCCAACATCTGCAGGAGGAAGTTTACAGAGTGAGAAAAAGAAAAGTGTGTTTATAGCAGCAGCTACTGCAGCCAGAGAGAGTCTGACAGGCCCAGCTGTGAGCCACATGTTAGTATCCAGCTGTTCACTGTGTTCACCGCCTCCAGAGGAAGAAAGTGTGCTGCTGTAACCTTCCCACGCCTCTCTCCATCTCTGCACTTTGCCATAAGTTGACCCAGAGCAGAAAGCTAGTTAGCAGCTACGAGCCAAACTCAGAACACTGAGTATCAGCCAGAGGTCTCCGTGGGTCAGAGCCGTGGATCTGGAGATAAACCTGCCGTTCTGACACTCATGTCAACATGACAAAGTCTGCTTTCCATAAGGAGACAAATTTGTGTTGAAAGTGTTACAAACACACACGATATGATCAACAAGCAATGATTTGTGACTTGAAAGCAGCTCACATTTGTGGATCTGTGTGAAGCTGGCAGTTAAATTAGACTCAAAACCCCACGTGGGCACGAGACGTGATCTGTGCGTGTCAGGTGACTCGTCCACATGTATTTAAGCTGTTGTGAGCTGTGTATTATCACCAGATATGCTGTTATTGTGCAATAAATATCTTTATGTTTTCGACCCTGAGCTGATGTATTTTATACTCAGGGCTGCCTGTGGCTGCATGAAAACAACAGAAGATGATCGCTCATTGAAATGGACTGAAGACATAATTATATACAAAGAGTTTTCATGATTATTCTTCTTATTTTACAATTATTGGACCACAGCTACATTTATTTACTTATTCTGAACTCAAACAGACCTGCAGAATGATGCTTTATTTAAAGTAGGCCTGCACAGGCCTGTGCTGTTTTTCTCCTCTTTAAAGTTTTTGTTAAAAAGTTCTTAAAAGGTAAAAAAGCTCTTCTTCTTATTAAGACATCTTGTATTGTATTAAGTATATTTATTATCATCTCTGAATTATGGACGATGAATTTTAAAGAAAGAAATCTGAAAAACAAACTGGACGTTAAAATTTGTTCCTCAATGATCAGCAGTTACTCAGGTTTGTGTCGACACATTTGTACAATAGTTTGTGTGAACTGGAGACCTGAAAAGTTGCACACAAATCACTGCACACATCTGTAAATCTTACTTTCTGCTTGTGAATCATATTATACACAGTTGTACCACTTTCAAGGTAAATTTGTTGCCATAAAACAAGGATATACTGTCCACCTTCACTCCCTGTCTCTGTAGCTGTAAGTGGTTCTTCAAAGGGAAAATGCAGCTGTTAGCTGTAATGTTAGGATTTGTAGATCACTTTATAAATGTGGAGTGTGTGGAGAACAGGCTGTGTGAGTCAGATACACCAGTGGGCCACCACACACGTGTACCACACGGTAAATAAACGTAAACACTGATTTTTAAATCCAACTTCATTTACAGTTAAAGTGTCACCAGGATGCAGTAAATCTTTCTCCTCTGAACAACAGCAAAAAGAAAACCAGGCTTCAAAATGACTTCATGTTTCTATTTGTCTCTAACTGGATATTTTTCTGTGAACAGTTCCCAGTAAGCCCACTGTGACCCTGCAGCCCTCCTGGACTCAGATATACAGCGGTGAGACAGTCACTGTCAGATGTGAGATTCAGGGAGGTGAAGGAGCTCAGTGGACGTATGAATGGAGAGCAGCCAAGTTAAACACACCTCCAACATCCAATGAATACAGAATCATCAGAGCTACTGAGTCTGACAGCGGAGGATACAGCTGCCGGGGCAGAAGGGACTATTTCTTCTCAGAGTGGAGTGATATCATCACACTGACTGTATCATGTAAGATCTTTCATCCAGATTATTTCAAATTACTTATTGTGTTAATCTAACCTTTAATTGAAATGAGTCATCTGCCTATTAAATAAAATCACAAATCAGATGTTAATTTATTTTTTTTTATTCTAGTAAACTTTCAAACATGATAACAGACAGTTTGTGTTTATATTACAAAACTGATCATTTAACCATTTGTGGACAGGCTGCAGTCTTCAGTGTCCATGAACAGCATCAACATGCTGGTTCAGACGTTTCTTCTCAGGGTAGAAATTATTTCTTTTCTTCTTGTATAAAAATATTTTTAATGTTAGTTTTAATTCAAAATTAATGGTTAAAAACATGTAACACATGTGAACATCATAGAAAAAGCAAGTGAATGTTTCAGTTCAACAAGCGCTCCAGTCAGACATTAAACTACAGTAACACTGTGCAGTTATGAAACTTTAATCTGAGTCAAACTGATTTAATCAGCATTAAATAAATCAATGAAATAAACATCACCCCACAGATACAACCTCAGTGAATTATGTCCAGTGTTCACTCAGTGTGGGTGTTAAACTGTGTGACTGGAGTCGTGCTTTGTGGCATCGAGAGCTCAAAACACTCCGTCAGCAACAAACTGAGTATGGATTAAAAAAGTACACTTGGTGACAGACAAACAGGGTATTTTAAAACTTTACTTATACTCGATAGCACTATAATTACTGCTTGTCAATTGAAATGCATTCTGGGATACCTGGCTGCCCCACGTCCACAGTACCACCAGTTCATCGCAGTCGATTGTCTAGTATTGATCTGTGCTGACTTACTCTACATGGTAACCAATCAGATGTTAGACAAGCTGCAGTGGCAGCGTTAAATAAGACCCTCCACAGGTTGATCACTGTTAAGTCTAATTGTTGAATGTTGCCATTGTGTTTCTTAAATTTGTATAGTCTTAGTTTAAGCAGTAGGATCAAAGCCATTCCTTTGATCCTGACCACCTCTCCAGCCACTCTGTGCTGGGGGAGGTTTTATTGTAGATACATCCTAACTTGAAGAGCTGTTTGATGTTTGGTAGAGCTTCCTACCCTTTGTATGGTTTCACTGTGTTATCTTTGGTAAACCATACATTGGGTGTGGGGGAAGACTACCCTCTTTATGACCAAGGATGTTGTTCCTGCTTTTAGGTTTTATGACCCTTTGACCACATAACACACACACACACACACACACATTCTCACATAACACACACACACACACACACACATTCTCACACACACACACACATTCTCACACACACACACACACACACACTCAGTGTATACATTTACATACAGTGCCTTGTCTTTGTAACCAAAGGGGGGTTGCAAGGGGAGGTGTTTTGTAAACTATTGTTTGAAGTTTGTCAATAAAAGGCGGCGAGAGGAGGCCACCAGTGTGGTCATTTCAACGTGCTGGTCACAGACGAGAGGCCTCCCTTGCGCAAGAAATCGAACGTTGTTGCCTTGCTTTTCTTTCATGGGAATAAGTCTTAGATACAGCGGGGTCTGAGTTTAGACCCAACAATCACATTTTGGAAAGTTTGGTCTCATGAGGAACACAAACTGTTGGGTCTGTGTTTCCACAAACCCCGCTAATTCTAGAGACTTATTCATCATGAAGAAAACAAGACAGTCGATCGATCGATTATTTGCGCAAGGGAGGCCTCGTCTGTGTCCACCACGAAAATGACCCCCAGATCTGACCTCCTCCTGCTACCTTTTATTGGGAGACAGTTCACACAAAACACGTCAGAACAAAACCACGCCCCCTTGGTTCTAAGACAAAGCATTTTATGTATATGTGTGAACTTCTGTAAGTGTGTGTGTGTGTGTGTGTGTGTTATGTGAGAATGTGTGTGTGTGTGTTAT